ATTTTAAGACCTAACCAGGAACGACTGCGAAAAATGCAGCACAAGGTCCTCTGGTAGGAATTGAACCTACGGCCCTGCGATTCCGGTGCAGCGCTCTAACCAACTGAGCTACAGAGGCTTCGTTAACTCGTAAAATCCAAGTCATTGAAGTCCACCTTTTCAGGTAGTTGCATTCCTACCAACGAAAGCTTATTCATTTATATATATAGGACTTCTTGTAGGAATCGAATTTGCGGCGTGTGATTACGAGTAAAGCGTTGCAGTCGCCCCTGGTTACGTCTGAAGATTGTATATATTAACTCTCGAAATCTCCATTTATGAAAACCCTTCAACGCATAGACGAATTTTCAGATTTTGCTCTGGGGAGGGGGTGCCGAAAATCCAAGGGGGAAGGTAGGCGAGGAGACGCATAAGGCCGCCCAGCAAGCAGGGGTCTGGGGCACAGTCGCTAAGGGGGTAAGGAAGTCATCGTGGTCTAAGTAGTCATCGCCCGGGAAAATTTCGATAGTGGCCATTTTGAATTGTTTAATTTTCCCGGGCGATGACAACTAAGAACAGCATTGCTCGCGGGCATCAAGCCTTGTGACGTCATTACGCATAAGATCTATTGAAGGGTTATGGAAGGTTAATATATACAGTTTTCATACTAAACCAATAGCAGCTGCGAAAAATGCAACTATATATAGGACTTAGGGTCTTCACTCGAAACGTCGAAATTCTCCTTATGTTTTTCAGGTAGTTTTAGAATGTTAGGGTTTGTAATCCAAGTGTGAATATATACATTTTAAGACCTAACAAGGAACGACTGCGAAAAATGCAGCACAAGGTCCTCTGGTAGGAATTGAACCTACGGCCCTGCGATTCCGGTGCAGCGCTCTAACCAACTGAGCTACAGAGGCTCAGTTGGTTCACACTTGGATTTATTCACACTTGGATTTATTCACACTTGGATTACAAACCCTAACATTCTAAAACTACCTGAAAAACATAAGGAGAATTTCGACGTTTCGAGCGAAGACCCTAAGTCCTATATATAGTTGTATTTTTCGCAGCTGCTATTGGTTTAGTATGAAAACTGTATATATTAACCTTCCATAACCCTTCAATAGATCTTATGCGTAATGACGTCACAAGGCTTGATGCCAGCGAGCAATGCTGTTCTTAGTTGTCATCGCCCGGGAAAATTAAACAATTCAAAATGGCCACTATCGAAATTTTCCCGGGCGATGACTACTTAGACCAGCATTCCTCGCGGGCATCAAGCCTTGTGACGTCATTATGTATAAGGTCTATTATATATATTCACAGTATTTAGTCCTTACACAGTGATCGACCATCGTTTCTTGCGCTTGAAGAGCTAAGATTCCACTATTTTCTTTTGCTTGGTCAGGTGGTTTATCGCCTGAAATACAGAGTGTTACTGCGGGTCAACATGGGACACCGTGATAGTATAATCCGAAGATATACCAATATATACCCCATTGTACCTTGATGTTGCTGCCTCCACGGTCTTTGACCAAAATATTCCAAATTTCCCGCTTGCTCTAAGGGATTGAATGATACCGTGTCTGGAGGCTAAGAAATAAAAGCATAGTCTTAAGGTAATGAAACATTATTGACTGTTGGGATTTATATATTACAGGGGCCGGCAGAATTCGCTGGGCCCGGGGCAAATCTTCCCTGGGAGCCCCTTGACATCATTATTTTTAAGCTAGACCAAACTAGACCTTAGCTAGATAGACTGCATGTGGAGTTACTGTAAGGGGCCCTCAATTTCAAAAATGCTCTGACCAATTTAAAGAACCTACTCAATTTTAGGCTCTCGCTCTCATGTTGGGGCCCTATTAAGGTGGGGGCCCGGGGCAGTTTGCCCTCCTCCCCCTCTCTCGGCGGCCCTGGGGGGCAGTTGTGCATGTAAAAAAGCGGTAAAAGCTAATTATCAGTTACAGACGAGCCAGTTTGTGTACCAAACGAAGTTGCAGTTTCGCCAAACACGAAGAAAGCTACAAAGTTTTGTTGAACAGTGTGTAGAGGTGTTCTTTAAGACAATTTCTAATGAAAAAATTACTAAAAGCTTGTAAATACTGTTGTGTTTACAACTATTACGGGAGCTGAGAGAGTTCTCGCCACGCGCGCGCAGTAATATCCAGTCAACTCTCAAGCAACTCTTGTTCTCGACCGGGGCATGCGAGTTGAAAAAACTCTCATGCAAACTCTCACTTGTAAACTCTCAAATTGCCAGACCAACTAGCTACGATAGTGCGATCTATATCAATGTTTCCGGGAGCAAATTATGCCTGATATTATTCTGAGGTTTAGTTTCGACTATATACGAGTATAGCAGTATATGAGTAGTCGAGTATACGAGATTTTTCCCGCCAAAAATAGAGCCAACCATCTGAAGTTGGCTATGCTTTTGACGGCAAAAATCTCGTACTCGTACAGTACGTAGTCAAAACTATACGCATAGACAGACGCAGTTTCATTTGAATAAACGAATTAGAACAGCATTTAAACACGGACGAATGGTAAGTCGAACTGTTTTAACTTGATCAAAGCGGATTGTCGCCTTTTAAAACTTACGATGTGATGACACAAGCCTTCGGAAAGTTGTCTTCTTATAACAGAGTGATTTGCGGATTGTTGGTAATAAAATCCTGGATGTTGCGTCTAAATAATGATAATTAAGATGAAACAATATACTCTCAAATGGCATGAAATGAATTCTCCCATTTCAAGCGAAACTGCATTACAGAATCTAGATCGCTTCCAGTATTACACGTAGCCAATCAAATTACTTCTTATTCGTCATGTAACCAACCAGAAACCTTCCTCACAAGCGCCGTACTTTTGGCGGGAACATTTCCCGCTTCTTGTCATCCTGTCATGGCTAAAACCTTGAATAAAAATTACCTGGATAGCCGTAAGTCCATTTTTAATGGCCTCGTCGAATAGATCACCAAATACACTAAATCTAAACGTGAAAAATTATATTAAATAAAAATGTTAAATATCAAAATTTGCAGCCATTGCTTCCATTTTTTATTATACTAAGAGACCGCGATCATAATTTATGGCGGCGGGGACACCAAAGAGAAAAGGGTTGGGTAAACAAAATTTTGAGTGAGTAAAAGGTTTGGTCAATGAAAATAAACAATAGCCAAGGGTTGGGTAATAAAACATCATTGTCATTTCCAAAGCATGACTCACTCAAATATTGAAGACTAAAAAGCATTAGAAAATAGCCTTTTAAAAACACGGGCGCTGATTGGTCAAAAGCTCAAAAAACACGTGTTTCTATAACTCGATAGAAACACGGGGAATTTTCACGCGGGTTACGTGGATTGCGCGGGAGTTTAAAAGACAAAATATAAACAATATTTAATATTGAAAACGAAAACGCCGAAGAACCGTTACAAATAAAGGCAACACTTTGCTACTTCGAAAGCGAAGACCTAAATCACAAAGTATATAGCACACGTTGTATTTGTTTGACTGTTTACCAAGGTAAGATATTTTAATTTTACTTTGTCTTTTTAAAATATTTCCTCGCGAAGTTTTTAATCATGTTTACTATCGTTTTTAATCATGTTTAAACGTTCACTACCTATTTGAATCAGTGCTTTCTTTGCATGCAAGCACGTACATTGTTGAGTGAATTACATACTTTAGTAAAGTAAGCCTGTTAAGTGCTGTCTGTTGTTTTGACAGCGATATACTTGTTTTCTTCGCCATGGCCCATGCCTTTATAATTATTCTTTGCATGCACGAACGTATATTAAGGTGGAATTAATATTTGAATGAAAGCAATTAAAATCAATAAATTTATCTTTTCTATTGTTTTTAAAAGGTTATTTAATAAAGGAAATAGAAAACATTTTTTCCGTGTTCCTATAGAGTTTATAGAAACACTTGTGAAAGTTTGGGAGAAACTCGAAATTGCGTGGAAACACTCGCACTTCGTGCTCGTGTTCCCACGCAATTTCTCGTTTCTCCCAAACTTTCACGCGTGTTTCTATAACTCTATAGAAACACGGAAAATGTTTTCTATTTCTTAAATGTCAACATCAATACATCATGTATGCATTTGAATACATGCAATATGAGAATCAATCAGAGTCACAATCTTGGTCATTTTCTGATTTGTGTGGAGGCAAATGCTGTGTCCAAAGAAAGTACATGTTGAAACAACATGAAATTTTACACTGCTGAATATTGCACAAGCAGTTATCAAACTCACGTCACAGAAGTGGTAAAGGACATCTGTGACAACTGAATGGTACCTTTTGTAAAGTTTTTGGCCAGGGGTGGGTATTTATTTTTTATTTGATATTCGAGGTTGGGTAAAGAAAAATTCTGTCTTTTTAATGGTTGGATCAGCAACATTTTTACCAAGAAAACATTTCTCTTCGGAGCCAAACCCCCGCCATAAATAACATTGACCCTAAACAATAGTTACAATTACATGAACTCACTGTTTTGATAGCCAGGCAAGATGTTCAAATGCCAGCTCTGGGTTCCCAGCTCTCTCTTTGAAAAAGTCAATGTGTTTCCGGAAATGTGAGATGGCGTCAAGTGGAGCGCTGAGACGAAAACTTAGATGACATATCTAAATAAATTTATTTAAATAAAAAACATTTTAACATGGAAATGAAGAAATTCTTCCATCGATTCTTTAACCTCCCTCCTTCCATCAAAACCCTTCTTTCTTACTCTGCCTTAATTCTTACCTTATAATTAATAAATCCAGCCACAATTTTAATCTCCAATATGTTCATTTCATTCTGTTTAATTTCAGTGAGCAAAGAGTAAGCTTGCTTGTAATGTCTACATAAAATGTGCATCAAAACAGATGTAGTGCACAAAATCTTATGTTGTAACCTTCGGGAATTAAACCATATATAGATGTACACGAAGCCAGGGGTGGATCTACAGTGGGGTGCAGGGGGCTGCCTCCCCGTGGTGTCTAGCATCCCCCTAGAGAAGTCCAGCACCATCCTAAAAAGATCTGCCTGACCATACATTTTCTACTTTTTGAATAGCGATTAGCGGAACTTCTACTGTTAGCGCGTGTCGATTTCTTGAAACGATTTAATTGATTTATGCTCGAGAAAATACTCAGAATGCTTTAGTTAAATATCATGATTAAATATGTGAACATATCGAGGTTGTTATACAGCCATATTTTCAAATATACTGTACTTTAACAAGCAAATTTTCTGTATTGTGCTACAGCAACTGTCCAGTCACGCATACGTGATAAAAAGTCGATATAAACAAAAGATAATGTAAAATGTAACAGAACAGCGAACATGCAGATTCGGCCATCTCAACTAATAGTACTGTTGGGATGGTAGCGTTGCAGACTGCAGAGGAGAGTGGGCAGTAAGGTTCCCTTATGCACCACCCCATGGAAAACCTGCACCCCTCCTTGCAAACGAGGCTAGATCCGCCCCTGATACGAAGCAATTGTACAATGAAATTTCTGTCTTTTCTGATAGATAAAACATAAAACAAAGAGTGAGATTGAATGAGGCAATCTCATTATTTTATTTTGACTTCTTACTTTAGTGCTGAATGAGAATCTTGTCGCATTTCCGAGAAGAACGCGATCTTGAACTGATGACGAACAAAAAATTGCTGAAATACAAGTAAAAAATATTGTTGTCAGCATGGTCCTTAGCTATTTAAAACAGGCTAATTAAATAACCGCATAGATATTTTGTACTGCCATACATGTGTAGCTTTAACTCATTGAGTAAAGTGACTTTACTGTAATTTAGTTAATATTCTGTTCAGAGCTTTGTGGAGTGGTGATGACCATAAATGCGTTATAAACGACACAAATTACAGCTGTAGTGTTGTAAAAGTATGTTTAGTGCTTTATCTGTAAAATAATGCTAAAATGAAGAGATTTTAGATGGTACGCCAAAGAGAAAATTATGTCTGGAATTCAGTACGTTTTGCTTATATTGCTGAACAGTAAGTCAGATGGCGTCACTTTTAAACCACGCATCATTTTAATTGTATTTTAATTGCCAACATTTTACCATAATTATTTTATGTTTCTCAAGCGGCAAATGCATTTAAAAAGGTAGCTATACAACTGTATATAAACTAGGAATAAAGCTAAAACAAAGCATTTTTGAGAGATACACCTAAAACATTTTCGATTTTCAAAACTTTTCATCGTAAATACGTGACATGCAAATATTTACCTGATGTAAAGATTTGTTCAGGAATTCCTGAAAAGAACGGAAACATCAAGTAAGTATGTTAAACACATGTGTACAATTTTTAAAAGTGCGTTTCAAAAAATTATTAGTATTAAAATAGAATACATGCAGCATTTGTAATATAATATTATAATATACCTTGTGTGATTTGACCCTCTTTGCTTCTCCCTGGTAGTAATTTTGAGCTAGTTCATGAAATGCATTTTCCAGTCTTAGAAAAAAACAGAAAAATAGAATCACATGTGTTAAACATAGATTTTACATGTGTTAAACAGAATAGAGAGGGTCTCCTAGAGGTCACAGGAAAAAAAATATTGAAATTCATTGATGTGAAAATAATAGTGTACGCAATTTCTATCGATGTTTTTTCTTCTACAAACTGTAGGAATTCACATTAATGGTATCATTAATGGGTTCCGTTTAAATACCACCAATATACAGGGTGTCTCAAAAATGTGAATTTAGAAATTCACCTTATTGTTATAATTTGAATGCCCGAGTCCTATACTGAATCCAATTGAAATGAAATTTTATGCATGGGAAGTTGTTTAAAAGTTGTTGGTATCGTTCAACATACGAGTATAATTTTATGCTGACTAATTTAACACAGCGCGTAAAACAGTAAAAACTCTTTGCTCTGCAGTCAGTTGAATCGTTTCAACTTTCAATTAGAATTTCATGTACAATTTAAGCAGTTTTAATACGCTCGTACGATTACAATGCATTCTAAACTTCCACAGAGGTAATGAAGTTTGGGTGTTTACGGTGCAAAAGGGTAATTTCTACAGGTTCACTTTTTTAGACTTACATTTTGTTGGCAATATTCACAGCAATTAACATTATGTAATATATATATAAAACCCATTCCTATCATTCATGTTAACCCATTGAGTGGCAGCACTCTTCACGTGACGAGTAAAATTGTCTGCCATTAGACAGTCAGAGTAAAATACTAAAGTAGGGCGCATCAGGGTGCATTGCCATTTAAAGGGTTAAAAATGATAATGACCATGATGTAATATAGAACAAACCAATCCATATCATTCATGGTAAAACTACAGTATAATCACCATAATGTTAATTAATATCAATAAAACCGATTAATGGTTAAAAAACAACCATTAATTATCACTTATTTACTGAGACCGAGAGAAACAGTGTGTTTTGTGGACCCGAGACTGTTGATGTTTCCCGAGGCGAAGCTGAGGGAAACATAGACGGTCGAGGGTCCACAAAACACACTGCTTTCCCGAGGTCTCAGTAAATAAGTGTTTTATTATATATCAATAGTCAAAGAAACAACAAATTAAAGAACAAATGAACGTAAATACATGAAATATTTTATTGTTAAAACGTTATATTAAACACTGGCTACACTGCAGTTACTTAAAGCGAAAGTTTTAATTACGTACTAGGCATGGCCAAAGGTCGCATCTTCACGTTATGGCGCATGTGATTTTTTTATTCGCCGGTCGATAACGTATTATCTCCCTCTCGCGCTGTTGCGAGGGAGACAGCCTAATTTCGTCACTCTCACGTGACATGCAAAGGGCAAAATTGGATGAATTGTACAGTCATAATTCATTAATATACTGATACATATGTACACTACATGCACATGTCACATTGTTGACTTTGGCCCCTTCTAAGCCCCAACTTTCTATGGAAACACAGAAGCACAGACTCCCCTGGGAGACCCTCAGAATAAAACAACATAGGATGGTGCATCTTTGTTTACTGATTAAACAAAATACCTTGTAGTATATCCATTTAAATTTGCCATATGGTCGGTAAATGGCAAGACAAAAAGAGATTTGGCTGACAAATCACAAGCACTGCAGAGCGCAGCAACCCTTTCTGACACTTGCGTATCTTCACCTGAATATTGAACAAAAATATTTTTTAAACTAACTGTGGTCATTTTGAGTCAATTAGTTATGGTCGACACAGAAAAAAATTTCAAATATCTAAAAATTACCTGGGGGAATTGGGGCATTTCTCTGAATGAGAACGACTGCCACTCGAGTGTTTCGGCCTTGTAAATTATTCCTAAAATTAAATACTTCATAATTAGACCTCCTGAATACACTATATTATGATGAGGATTGGCATTATTCTCCATTGCTTTTCGATATATAATAAATTGCTATTTTATAAACTAAACTATGTGGAACTTACTTTATTTACACTGGATAGCTAAATGAGTTCTAAATTGCTCTCCCTAAACCCAGAAGTCCAGTAAGGTCATCCCTTATTGCTCCAGGGTGTTAGCCAGAAGTAAAAAATATCCGCGTTTACCTGAAATTAGGAAATTTATTTTAGCCCGAAGTCGGGCATTTCTTTGGTGCTCCCAAAATGCGGGATGTTTGATATAAACCATGCCCCCTCTCGATTTTTAAAATTTTTGTGTCTTTGAAATGGCATTTCCCGCATTTTGGGAGCAATTTTGAGCAAATGTACTTATAAACATGTTTTTAAAAACATTGAATTTCAATAACTATTTTTTGGCTGACCCAAATTGGGAAATTGCGACCTCAAGGTAATTGGGAAAACTGTGTTTAACGCGGAATTTTGACTGTAGCTAACACCCTCCCAGCGGGCAAAATGACGTTTATCCAACGTTGAATCAACGTTGGAAATGACCTTCCAGACGTTGGATAGACGTTGAAAAAGGGTTGACTATGCAAATTGGATCGACGTTACTGTTTCGACGTTGAAACAACGTTGAAATTAGGTTGCCAATCTCGTCAACCATAATTCAACGTTGAATCCACGTTAAAACAACGTTGAGATTGGTTCACAAATCGACGTCGTACATTTAACCATGAATGAACGTTAATTCAACGTCTGTTGGCTGCTGTTGAACCAATGTTTGTAAAACAACGTCAGAGCAACGTAGATATTAGGTTGTCGACGTCGCAACCTTTTTTCTACCAAATTTCAACGTTGAAACAACGTCGTGTGCCCGGTGGGCTGTGCTCCAGTGTTGCAACAGGAGGGAACCTAAACTAAACTTTATTTACACTGGATAGCTCGATCAGTTCCAAACTATTCTCCCTAGATCCAGTAAGTTCATCCATTATTGCTACATGAAGGAACCTACAGTAAACCCTCACTAACAGTAGTTAACCTGAATGTCACCTTTTTGCCCGCGCATCTCTCCTCCACCCAATTTTCACCTTTTAGCGTAAGGCAGAAAAAATAAAGGTCTGACATTCAGGTTACACTAACAGGGGTATAGCTAACCCCAAACAAGTGGAGGGTTTAAGGTCCGCCCGGTGGCATGGTTTCCCGGAAAATGTTTCTACTTTTAGGGTCTACGAAATGCTGTATTTCATGCATTTTAGACATGTTTTATACAAGGGTGGGTAGTAGCGAAGTAGTTGTAGTTCGCTATTGTAGCGAACTACAATTTTCAAGTAGCCAGTAGTTTTTGACTACTTTTTTAAACAGTAGTTGTAGTTATAGCAAACTACACTTTGCCTAAAAGTAGCCAAGTAGTTGACTACTTTTCAAACAGCGAATCGCTATTCGCTACTTTTTAAAATTGTTAGCAACCGTTCATAGAATAGAATGATATTAAGACACGGTTTGCTTAAAAGATTATTTTATACAGTAAAGATTATTTTAGCGCAATGAAAAGTGGCACTCCTGAACACTGTAGTGCTTACAAAAATGTTGCTTTGACCTTTTTTTTATACTGTTGCTACTCGTAAGTTGATTTGTTATAGGTTATATTACAGGATTTACAGCTTGAGCTAGTGGATGCTCCAAATACTGTAAAACTAAAAAATATAGAGTAGCGAAATAGCGAAATAGTTCGCTACATTTTTTAAGCAGTAGCTGTAGTCAGTAGCGAACTACCCTTGTTCAAAAGTAGCAGTAGTTGTAGCTGACTACATATTTTTGTATTAGCTGTAGTTATAGCGAACTACAAAAATTTTGTAGTCAACCCACCCTTGGTTTTATATAATCTGAAAGTCACATATTTGGCATATTTTATGCCATAGATGAAAACATTAAAAGCCACACCCTCCCCCCCCCCCAGTTGCTCTTCAGTTTTGAAAGAATTACAAAAAAATTGGCCTTGAAGAAAAGGGGGGGGGGGGGGGGG